CAAATCTCGTCTGCTTCTCCATCCTAGCAGCCGTGGGAACGGGCAAGCCTACTCATCCTTCTACTCCGACAGCTACAGCGATCAGTTACAACCGTAGTAGCGAGTGCAGGAGGAGGAATACTCGTAGCCACAAGTCGTGCGGCAGTCGTCGCCGTGTCGCTGTTGGAATAGCTAAACCCTAAACCCTAAACCACGGGCTTTGGGTGAAAATCATATCATAGGCCGCAAAAGGCAGCAGCAACACGTACACACAGGAAGCACTGGTCATCGAAGTCGTAGAGCACTGGCAGACGGAGCTGGACCTGTCGCCGCAGTAGCAGAAATAGAAAACAGCAACAATAGAACAATGCAACAATCAAAGAAAAACATAGGGGACTATAAATACTTACCAATACTATTTTTGGGCGTTCCCTTGATATACTTATAGTGACATGTACCTCAGAAACCTATTCTAATTCGTAAGGCCCCTGCAATATGTACGTTCAGAGAGGAGTCCGGGCTGCACAGAAGCAGGACCCTACTGTTGATGGTATAAATCCTGCATTACGGTTTAGGGTTTGGGGTTGAGGGTTAACTTAAGGACCCTACACTATGTTAACTTAAAGCCTAAAGGTGTTGAGGTTGTAGGATGCAAACACTAGGCATGCCTGAAAAAATCAAAGGCTTGACAAAAGCTAGGGCGAGCAGCCTCAAACCAGAAACCGCGAAGCCTGCAAAGCCCAGCCACTAAAAATCCACTAATAACCCTTAACCCTCGAACCTTACACCCTTAAGCCCTAAACTCTAAAACCCTACAACCTTAAACCCTAAAGCCCTAAACCCCCGAACCCTACAATGCCAAACCTAGACACCTCAAGCCCAAGTCTCAGGGCTTAGGGCTCAACATCCTCAGTCCTCACGCCCGGAAGCCCTCAACTGTAGTCTTTAATTAATGTAGGGGCCTTAATAATTTTAATCGGGTTTTGGGGCCCATGATACTATAAGTATAATAAGGAACCCCCAAAATGGTAGAGGGTAGTTTGGGCCCCTATATTACAGCCTCAGAGCCTCCAGAGCCCCATGAAACGCGGACAGCACCCTGCTCCAGCCGTTACACAGCCCTTTTGAAACAGGGTTTAGGGTTTAGGGTTTAGGGTTTAGGGTTTAGGGTTCGCAAACCTAGCAAAAGCGGTGTACTCTCAACAAAAACCCTGAACTTCCTAGACCCTAAGCCCGTAGACCCTTGACCCCTCAACCGTCATCCCTATATACCGTAAACTTATTAAACCCTAAACCCTAAACCCCTAAACCCCTGAACCCTAAACCCTAAACCCTAAACCTTAAACCTTGAACCCTCGACCCTGCAGGCCCCATACCCTCAACTTAAAAAAGAGTAGACCAGAGGAAAATATCGAGGATCCGACCCCATGCTGCGGCTGATATCGCAGAGCATACCTTGGGTTTAGGAGGTCCATGGGTAGTTGTAAGTGGGGTACCCTCCAATATGGGATATCACTATAGTTGCCCTGCTTATAACCCCAAGTTTTCTCCAGCTAGGTTTAGGGATTCAGGGTTTTGGGTTCAGGCTCTAGGGTTCAGGGCTCTTGGGCTTCATTGCTTTGTGAAAACACCAGAGAAAACGGCTCAGAAGTTCAGGCCTTTCGGCTTCAGCTGTTTTGCTGAAAGGGGGGGGTTGAAGTTTTGGGTTTGTAGGGCTTGAGGGCTTCAGGCCCTCAACGGTTTAGGGTTTTGAGTTTGGGGTTTTATTTAGGCCTTAAGGCTGTTACAGTACCAAATAAAAAAAACAAAGACACAGCAACCCAGGAAATGCAGTACTTCGGAGCCCAGATGCAGTCTTCCTCAGAATCGCTCTCCGCCGGGCAGTCCACGTGGATGAACGTGTGCTGAACAGGTCTTATATAGGGGCCTTAATGATTATAACAGGGTTTTGGGCTCCTTCATGCTTATAATTAGGAGCCCCCAAAATAGTAGTAATAACTCAGGCCCTGCTATAAGAGTCTGGAATGTCGGGTTTGGATCAGTTTCTGGGGGTTTCTGGCTCCCTAAACCCTAAACCCTAAACCCTAAACCCTAAACCCTAAACCCTAAACCCTAAACCCTAAACCCAAGTTGGGGGGATTGGAGTCTTTCCGCTTAAAGGCCTACAGGGAGCCTCGAGCCCCGAACCCCCAAACCTTAAATCCTAAAGGTTTAGGGTTTAGGGTTTAGGGTTTAGGGTTTAGGGTTTAGGGTTTAGGGATCCTAAACCCCAAACCCCCCCATAAACCCTGAACCCGAAGCCTTAAACCCTAAACCCTAAATCCGAAACTCCCTAGGCCAGAACTCAAACCCCAAACCCCAAACCACAAATGACACACCGTAGATCCGAAACCCCAAACGCTAAACCAGGATGGCCAGGATGACGAAACAAGGATGCTTTATACAACAGGGGGAGCCTCGTAGACCCCATAATGTAGCGGCGGCCACAAGAATCAGAAGGGTTTCGGGCTCCTTTATAGTACAATAATAAAGAAGAACCCTGAGGAATAATATGGCTAATTATTTAGGCTTTTATATTACACGAAGATCCTTCTTGGAAGGGTGCCAGGAAAGTGCAAGGATTAGTTCTGCACCACATCAATATTGAAGTTCTGCACGAAACCAATACCAATATTGAAGTTTTCCATCTTTACAAAAATCAATATTGAAGTTCTACACCAACATGATAGATATTGAAGTCCCTCGACAATATCTCACATCAAAAGCCAAGCAAAACCCTCCACAGTTGCAAGTTCAACGCCCGGGAAGCCCGAGACCTCTTCTTGATCGAGGATGTGCGGGTTCCACCGGGAAGCTCCGTCACCCCAATATTAGGAGTTAGGATTACGGGGACACGACGCTGTCAAAAAGGTCGCTTTTGAGAGAGCCATAAGTAAGGTTTAGAAGGGTCCCCTTTTAATGCGATCTAGGAAATATCTGACCCTGAAGACGAGGGTTTATAATTAAGTGGGGTAACCATAGCTATGATCCATATTAGGGGACTTATCGCCCCACTTCCAACTACCCATGAACCTCCAAGTGGGGCTTTACAGCCGGCGTGCCTTGAGCTGCACGCAGTGTCCTTTGTAGTTGCAATGTGAGTTGAGGCGCAGACCTGCCACGGGCTTAAGGCTTCGGGTTTAGGGTTTTAGTCCATCGGGTCTCTTAAGGCTTGGGGTTTAGGGTTTTAGTCTATCGGGTCTCTTAAGGCTTGGGGTTAACGGTTTAAGTTTATCGGGTGTTCAGCTCAGGGCTGAGGGTTTAGGCTTTGGGGCTTCCAATGTCCTCATGGAACCCTAAACCCTAAACCCTAAACCGTGTCATGCAACCCCTCGCACGAGGGAAAATATGCTCTGCGGCGTTGGGCCTTGAGCTCCGGACTTCTTGCGTTTAGGGGTTTAGGGTTTAGGGCTTAGGGCTTTAGAGGAGCGGTCTTCGGAATGCGTCGAAGGGTTTCGGGGCTTTGGGTTTAGGGGCCGGGCTAGAGACTTCGGGGGTTCAGGGACTATGATGTTACGGTTTTGGAGTCAGACGAAGGCTTCGAGGTTTTTATAGGGCTCAACGGTCTAGGGTTTGGAGCTTATAGGGTTTAGGGTTTATAGGGCTTTGGTTTTGGGGTTTGGGGTTTATAGGGTTTATAGGGGTTTTTCACGGTTGATGGACAAAATCCTGCATGACCTTATATACCTAAACTATGGGATTTATGGTACTATACTATATTTGGGTCATGCAGGATTTTGTCCATCAACAGTACGCCTGGGGTTTAGGCTTTCGGGCTGGAGGGGGTGGGGCCGCGAACTCCGCCGAGACGCCCATCGCTTCCCCCTCGGACCGGAGCTCCACAAGCTCGGCGAGTAGAGCAAACATACTAGTCTAGCATATATATATATATATATGACCATATGTATATATATATATATATATGGTAACCCCCCCCATGAACTAC